GATAACATCCCCTTGTCTCACACCTCGATGCAACGGTATCGGCCTTGTTTGCTGATCCTGTACTTGGACGGACATGGTGGCGGCCTCGTAGAGACATCTCATCACTTGGATGTATCGCCAATCTACTTGGCATCGCTGCAGGGACTCCAGAACAGCCCATATTTCGACCGAGTCAAAGGCTTTCTCATAGTCCACAAATGCTAGGCACAGGGGCTGATTATACTCCTCAGTCTTCTGTATAATCTGCCGCACTGTGTGGATGTGGTCTATGGTGCCGTATCCGCTCCGAAACCCAGCCTGCTCCGGTGGTTGGAATTCGTCAAGTCTTCGCGCAAGGCGGTTCGTGATCACTCTCGAGAACAGCTTATAGACGTGGCTTAGAAGGGAAATGGGTCGATAATTCTTCAGTAGGGTTTTGTCACCCTTTTTGAAGAATAAGACGACCACACTCCGACTCCACGCCTCTGGAGTTCTCCCTTCAAACAGGACAGCGTTAAATAGCTTTTGCAGCTCCCTGAGTACCGGTTTGCTGCCTGCTTTTAGAAGCTCTGTCGTAACGCCATCCTCTCCAGGGGCTTTTCCATTTTTAAGCTGTCCAAGAGCGATCTCGATTTCGTCAATGCTGACTTCTGGCAGGTCTTCGGTGTAATGGCGTATTAAAGTGGCTCTAGAGTCCTCATTTCCGGGGTCAGGTCGAGATGCATGCGAAGCGTATAACCGGCCGTAGAAGTTTTCTACTTCCGAAAGAACTGCCGGCTTCGAGACAACGACTTCTCCACTTGCTGTGGTCAACTTCGTCAGGTGGCTTCTTCCAAGAGATTGTACGAACACTTTTGGCCCCCGGTTTTGCTCGATCGCTCTCTCGATTGCAAGGGTATTCGAGCACCGGAGATCGTGTCGCACGTGTTTGCTAATCTCTCGGTTTAGAGCCCGCTTCTCTGACGAAGTGACGGGTGGGTTTTCACGTCGTCTCTTCATAAGCCCTTAAGTCTCTTCCGAAAGCTTCGACTTCTTGCCCTTACGCTGCATTTCACAAAATCTCGTACCTTCTTCCCTGAGAACTCGAACCACGTTTTCAAGGTTCCGGTTAACGTCGGTTGTGGTTTCCAGGGCAGCAAATCGGTTCTCCAGGTTTAACTGAAACGCTTCAGATCCCATTTTGATTTGAAACAGGGTTGGTCGGAGCCTGGCCTTCATCAAGCGGACTCGTTCGGCTCTGAAGTCGATATTCAGAGAGCCTCGGACGAGTCGGTGATCGCTACCGGTATTAAACCTATTAATCACGGAGACGTCTCTGAATATGTGCCTTTTGTCCGCCATGAAGAAGTCGATCTCGTTCTTTGTCATAGTGTCGGGGCTTTGCCACGTCCACTTCCTTTGGGGCTGCTTCTTAAAGAATGAATTCATTAAGAACATCCCCTCCCGCTCGAGGAAATTGACGAGCATTTGCCCCCTATGATTCCTGTTTCCATACCCATGGGATCCTACTATCGATTCACTGCAATTTTGTACTCCCACTTTGGCGTTAAAGTCCCCCATAACAATGTTGAAGTGAGTCCTAGTGGTGGAGTGGAGGGCCCTCGATATATCATCGAACATCTCCTCCACCTCATCATCGGAGTGTGCCGAGGTCGGTGCGTACACTTGGACCACCTTAAGGCTATACCTCTCGGTGAGCTTTATAATGAGGTACGCCACCCTGTTCGACACACTCGACATTTCCACAACATTGTTAGATAGGGACTTGTTAACCAGAAACCCAACGCCACCTTGGGATTTTTGGTCTCCCTCACGGAAGTACATCAGGTGGCCTGATTTGAGAGTTATCGTGTCCTCCCCCTCTCTTCGGACTTCACATAACCCTAGTATGTGCCACCTGATCTTCCCAAGTTCCACCTCTAGTTGCGCTAGATGCGAGTCAAGCCGTAGCGTGCGTCCGTTGTACGTCGCCAGGGTCAGTCTGTTGTGGTGGCCTCCCGTAGCCCGGAGATTCTTAGCACCCCCTACCCCACCGTTACCATGGTCGCCACCATGACCAGGAATAGTGGGGCTGCCGGGAACTGGGGGCCGTGGCCTTCGTTTTTTGCCCATAGGAGGTATTGCCCATAATCGCCACGCTGGGCAGGCGGGTTGGCGATCGCAGGGCGAAACTTTTCGCACCGGTAACGCTGCTGCCCGTCACCGGCCTGCGGTACTTAATTTCGCCTGTTTGTAAGGGACGGATATACCGCCGTCGGTCGGTCGCCAGAGCCTCGTTCGTTGACCAGCAGGATGCACCGCGTGCAGGTGAGGTTGGCTTGGGGCGAAAGATGGAAGTTCGCCCCCTTACATCCCTTACATCCCAAGGAATAACAAGCATCCATCTATCCATCCATGCATCCGCGTTACTAACTTTCTCGTTTAAAATATTAGTTCGATAGTTGAACTCAATTTGCAGTTCTTTTCAAGCTACAAGAGCCAACTAATGCAAATATCCAGTTTTTATTTTAAAATCAATAAAACTTCATTAATTTCTAACAATAAAATAATTTGATTCACTGAATAATCCCTATTTCGAGATGCTCTGTAAAGCTAAAATTATGTCGCTGGAAAATATCGAAGCTAAAACCGCTCGACTCGACTGCAGCGCTTCAGTTAGGCTTGATAACCTGTCACTCATTTGCCGCATTGTCACACTCACTACAATCACTTTGTGGTTTACCTCCCAAATTGCTTTAAACAGGACTAGGTAGTTTGAAGGAAAATTAGTAATGCATTTCTATGAAGTATTTTTTAAGAAAAAAAAAATTATAACGCAACTTTCATATTGACTCAACACGAAAATGATAACGATAACAAATTGCTTGGCCCACCAAGAAATAATATCGAGGCTCTGGATGGGTCTAGAGCCCTCACTTATGTAGCAATAATACGACAAGCTTTAGAATTCTATAAGATTGTGGTACCTACATACTTTTTCAGTCAAGCTTCATAAAGTGACAAAACTCTAATGTCTAATGTATGTATAATTCTGGCAAAAAGTTTCATGATATACTAGTTAAAAAAAGATTTTTAAGTAACAATGCCAATAATTATTGTTACGTAAGATTTTATAGTTTTTAATGAAGATTGTTGTAGGTTTCAAGTTGTGCAGATGGCACGTTATATTTTATATACCTACTTTATTTCATACTATTTTTCTCCAAATACAATGTGTTCTCGCGTCTTGAGTGGGACGAGGAATCTTAGGTCCAAGTCAAAATCAAAGTCAAATGAATTAATTCAATTAGACCATAATAAGCACTTTAGAATGACTAAAAGCTCTTACTGACTAGTAAAAAATAATGAACCAGCGTCTTCTTCTGCTCTACATCAGCCCACGATATCTACAACATTGCGCCTACCTTAATGAAACTGTACTTATCATCTTTATTTACTCAAAAACTTCCAATGAAAATGAAAATAACACGTTTCATTGCTTGAAATAAGGATATGATAGAGATTTTAGAGATCAATATATTTATGGATATACCAACTCAATACTAGAATACGTATATATTCGCTAAATCTTTGTTTATAATATTATCAGGAAAAGTTTCACATGAAAAGAAAAGAAAGAAAACTCCACCAAGAAAGGCTGGAAATAGAAGCCAGAAGAAGCCACAGCGACATAATAGGATGCAGTAAAAAAAATATTCTGTTTCTTCCACAAAAGTATTTTATCACAAATTTAGACTTTATGTGTATTATCACAGATCTTAATTTGCACTTGTATAGCTTTTAGGTTTACATTTGACTAACAATGAGCTAAATTCATGTGCTGTTCTTACTATTGTATTAGTTTATATCCTTCTAAAGAATGAAAAGAAAAAAAAGAAGAAATAATAAATTGTGAAGTATTTAATTACATTTTTACGTTTTAACTTTCGTTAGGCATATTAAAATAATAATTGTGTAGGTAAACGACTTACTCACGTAACAGACTGTTCGCTTGTTAAACGCGCCACGTTAGCGTTGTCACGCAATTATCATGAGTATGAGGCCCCTATCGAGGCTTGAAACTAGTCAAGTTTCTCGTCAAACATTTACGACAGAATGCTGACATCATTATCTTATTCTTATTTAATCTTAAATAAATATCTTATTAATTATAAAATAAAAAATATTGTATTGCGTGACGATTGATTAATTTAAGATAGACACATAACCGATCCTATAAATCTTATCAATAAAGCATTGAACATAAAAAAATATAATATAAACATATATATAACCCATAAAAATATGACGTCACGCCATTCATGACCAATGATTAAGATCATTTCACTGATTACACGTCGAGGTTGAAATTGAATTCCAATTCCCGTAACGGTAATGTTAGCTTAAATCTGATCACTTTATTGATATCGTGTATAAATAGTTCATTCAGTTATTTCATGTAATTTTTTGATCTTCTTTTATTTCGATTGACTCTAAAAACATTGGTAGGATTAAGCATAAATGTAAGATATGTTTAAAAGAAAAAAAAGCGATCACAAAGGTTGCCAATACCATTTTTTAAATTGTATAATTTAATAGTATTACATCTTCTAGCACTTAAGAAAAAGTATTAAAATCTCAAAAAATATATTAAAAACTCTTTCTTAAAATTGCTTCGACGAAAATCCAGTCTGATATATTGTTAGCAATGATTAATTTCAGCTGCGTGCCGTTACGACATTTCAGATGTTTCGTCCTCATTAATTTGTTCTAATTTATTAAAGAAATATTTTCCACTAATCCTGTATATCGTTGTCTTGCTAGAGTTTCTTGAAATTCATTAGGAAAATCTACTTCGGAGAAAATTGTTACTGTCTTCCTTTCAGTCTAATAGTACCTAGTAGAAAGATCTAGTTAGTATCTATGTACACCTAAGGGTAATGATCACAATATTATGTGAGTAATTAAACGACACGTGACTAATATGAATCATAGAACAAAATATTCACAAGCATGAACTAACCTTATTTTTTTCTACACAGGTGTAACGGAGGCTCCTCCAGATCCGCCCTTATACTCTGCAATTGCTCAACCAAAGAACTCAAACAGCGCGCACAGCTTGCAACGCACACAAACGCCGGTGACGCCAATCTCATCACACGCACATTATACTGATATGCAGGTTGGCACATTTACTAACATTTTTAGAACTGTATTGGATGGCATGACACTTGAAATTCGTTCTTTTTCAACTACTAACTATAGACATTTCTTATACCCTCTACCCTTGTGCTTAACTTTTCTTACATATACAGTAAAATAACCAAGTTCTGATATTAATTTCAAGATTAAGAACGACATATAAATAAATAAACTAGACTTATAATTTCTAATTATAAGTTTGAAATCGCCAACCCGCATTGAGCATGGTGTGGTGGTTAGTGCTCTAACCTTCTCCGTATGAGAAGAGGCCTTTGCTCAGCAGTGGGCACTTATAGGCTGATGATGATGATGATGAATAAATAAATAAATATTATATTACTTAAAAATGTGTGGATATGACATACAAAGATGTACTAAAACTTGCAAGCATGATTATTTCTTTACGTTTTTAACTTAGGGTAAATAAATACCTACACATGATAGGTACGGGTGTAAGAGACATTTGTCTTATTTTTACTTTTACCCTTATTTACCCTTATCTTGATCTTTGCAATTTAGAGTTGTTGTTACCATCTACAATAATCAATTAGCAAATGAATTAAAGTTGTAATTGTTTAGTTACGGGTGTAAAAGACACTTGTGTCTACTTTTACCCTTATTTACCCTTACCTTGAGCTTTGTAATTAGGAGTTACCTGTAACAATAATTAACTACCAAATGAACTGAAGTTCTGTTTACTAAGAATTCATGTTCATAGAACTCAATTCTAAGGAATACACATATGTAATACCAGCTAATAAAAGGAATCCTTAGAAACACCTAGTACAGAGGATTGCCTCAATCAATGAATGATTTCGATCAATTATTTGTGTTAGCGATGACCTCTGTGAACCCATTGCAATACTAATGTTTGTATTTAATTTGCCATACAATGGTTTTACTGAATAATCATACCGATAATTTGGTGTTCATTGGATATATTTCGGCAAAAAGCTTTGGCAAACTGTTAGCGAGCTGTAATAGAGCATTTTGATTATTTAGCCGAACTAATATTTATATGAAAACTATTTAGTAAACAGTTTTATTTATACATTCTGTTATGTTTATTCTGAAGTGGATTATTGCAGAATTATTTTATTATATGTATAAGCAGTTTAGCGTTATTAATTGGTTAAATGTAGGTACCGATATATGAGTTAGTAGAGGAATGATAATTTCATAAATTATTGAGTTGTTCATTGTGTTTTTATGAGTGGTTTTTATCTACAACTTCTGGAATTTTTGCAGTTTTTAAAGTTATAATTGATAACGGCCTCATACTTATTAAAAAAACAGTATGAGGCCGTTATCATTGATGCTGAAGAAAGCTTGATTACTGATTTGACGAAAAACTATCTCCATATATTTGGAGTTTTGAAGAAAATATGTTACGGTAGTGTCAAGACCGTTTTCGCACACTTCAAGAATATTTCAAATGTGTTACTGATCTGTGTTTTTTTTTTGTCTCAGAGTACTCAGATACACCACAATCTGTTTAGCAGTTTCTGAGATTTTGGTCTCGAAAAATTGTATGATAACTCGTTCCGGGTAGACGCTCTAAAGAATTTTTAAATACCCAAAAATAATTATCATTACAGTTGAAATAAACAGCTATTATATATCAGTTGTAAGAGGTAGTGCGAAAGTAATTAAGCAAAACTTAATAAGAAACACATTTTATAGTTTTAAAACATTCCGAGATACACGCTCAGATTAAACAAATACATATCTTGTAGTCATAGTAATAAAATCTAAAATTCAATGTACCATACTTACGTGTGCAATATTTTTCGCAGAATGATTCCGGTCGAGGTATGATCAATGGTGCAATGAGGTCGCATCGAGAGATTGTTACCACAAGGACGCCGTTGTTAGCGGCACATCAAGAAAGCTGTGTATAAAAGCCATATCCATTTTTATTTAATAAAAACATTCTTGTAAATGTGAAAAAACTAAAGTAAATATATTGTTATGACGTTATCTGATTTTAATTCGATTCGCAATAACAGTAATGCGTTCTAGCAGTTATAAAATTAAGACAATGACTGATGAACAATTATTAAGTAAAAAAGATTATTAGAAAAATTATTGAAGTAAATTGTTTTAATAATAATATTAGTTAGATACTCTTTAAGAGAAATGACGGACGGCTCTAAGCTCCTTTAGGATACATAGACTTAAGTACGAAACTGTAAATATAATAATACATAATACAAAAATTGTGTTTCGATAATCACATACGGAATTTCATTTCGAAATGCACTAATAGAAAATTTTAATGTAATTATTACAATAAATAAAATGTAAAAAGTTAACTTTATAAATGTCAATAAAATATTTAATTTCCATTTAACAACAATAATTATATTTAAGCCAGTCCATTTTTAATTTTAATTAATATAAAATTTATAATAATTTGCATAGTCCGAAATGAAGTAGTTTGTCAATTAATTAAAATTTTGATTAATTATACCTGTGATTTATTGATGACGGCGGTATGACAAAAGCTATGGTTTCATAACGATCAATGTAAACAGTAATTTATTTTATTATTTATAAGTATTAAACACTTTGTAATATTGTTATTTAGGTACTTTTTAATTTCATTAATCTAAACTAATATTACAAAGTTGAAGAGTTCGTTTGTTTGATCATGGTAATCTCCAGAAATATTGGTTTGGATTGATTTTTTTTTTATGTACATGCATTTATCAAGACTATTAATATAAACCCGCTACCACCAATAGGAAACGAACAGCGGCTAAACCTGCGAGCTTATAAATAAAACTGTTACAATTTTAAATTAAAATTTCCATTACCATAATATAATGAAATTTTATTTTAATGGAAATATTACGTTCACTAAACTTGATTATGTTGTACAAGGTGTAAGAATATTTATTAATTAATATGTTCAAATATAATAATATGCTTTTCCTGTGTTTTTTAAAATAATAAAGATATCTCATACACCACGACACTATGTTGATATTTATACTTAGGCAAAAACTGTCATTACACATCATACAAAATGTGTGATAAATAATTATTACAATAATATGTAAATAAATGTACAGATATTATTATGTAAATAATTTTATTGCAGCATTATTTTATGACGGATATTAAAAAAATAATTTTATGCCTTGTATGACTGAATGTTGAAATAACATATCAGTTTTATATCAACTAGTTTAATTTTCATTGTACTTTGGAATGTCCGTCACATATCAAAATTTATTAAATCGAAATAATAAAATAATGTAGATAAATTAATTATTGAAATAAAAAATGAAATTTTAATTTATTTATTATTAAATTGAAGACAACTTTCATATTTATAATTTAAATTTGATACAAGTTTGAACCCTCCCGGACTGGTTGTACATATATATTATATTATTAAAATGTATAAATACAATAAAAAATTTGCTCATTCTAAGGGATATAATTGAATTTAATGTAACAGCATGAGGAAATGTTATGTTGTCGGTTAAAGAAACATTGTGGGAAGAGCAGTTTTTTAATACATGTGACTCAATAAAATGTCGAAATTTGATTTTGTTGTTTTATTTTGTACTTACTCTTGTTAGTGCTTAGTGTTAGTAAAGATTAAACGACAAATAAGTTGACATTCAGCAATTCTTAACTCACTAAACCCCTAATATTTAAGTTTAAAAGCATTTTTAATAAAAAAAGTTTTTAAAAAGTAAGATAAAAATATGTTTTTGTCTTTTCGGATTTCAGACGAACTGTAATTTATGTAGTTAATTCAAAGGAATAATTAAAAAATGGTCGTAGATAGCAGTTTAAGACCTTCAATGAAAGATGCAAAATGCGTATGAATTCTAAATGTTGTTAAATATGGTTTTGTAAATTTCTATCATTTTAACACGATGACATGAAAACCCTTCACTTGAACGCTCTTGAAGAATCCGAAATAATAGTTACTAATAATAGTCCGAAATAAATGTTATTTTACAGAACATTACAACTGAATGAAGTACAAAAAAAAATAACTAGGTACATAAATGGTCTATGTATAATGCAAAAACATTGTTTCGATAATTAAAATTTGTTATCCATGCTTCATTTACGATTTATTGTTGAATAATTAGAATGAATAATTAGCGTCACTAAAAACAAATGTAACTGCAATGATTTAAAAGTCTTATACACTGCATTCGTTGCGTTACTGAAGTCAAAGTACATAAAAAAGAATATGTATGAACGTTGATGTCAAACGTAACATAGAAAGACAGTATTATCCTCAGTCCAAATTTACAGGAGCTCAGGGAGCTTAGAAGAAAATGATGGTCATATACAGTGGATTACACACACCTAGTCAAATTAATGACTGCTCAAACGTACGGGTCAACTCCACACCACCCTTATTGACTGCTCAACCAATCTGCTAGATATTTTCGATGTCTTACTCATGCACGTAAAACGACAATGTAAAACAGATATGATAATTGTTACTAAGCAATTATATACACAATCGAAACTCTTAATCTCTGTTTAAGTGTGGGAGCATGCTTCGGCACCAATGGGTCGTCTGAACCGGAGAGGTACCACGGCCTCACAGAAAACCGTCGTGAAACAACCACAGCGTTATGTTTCGCCGTGTGAGTGAGGTTGCCGGAGGCCCAATCCTTCCCCTCCCCCAATCCCTCCTCACTCCCTAAATCTCCCAATCCCTAATCCCTAAAACGTCGGCACCGCAGTCGTAACTCGTCAGGTAATCCGTCTGCTCGTTTGCCGACCTATTTAATAAAAAAAAAACTCTCTAAGAACTACGGAACACGTAAACCAATGACGGTTTTTGTGAAACAGCCCATAAATATCTTTCTGTCAACTGGCGACGTCACCGCGAAGCGCACGCTGCTCCTGAATATGAGTCCCGGTGGAACATCAACCTGTACTACTGTGCTTTTCAAAGTTAATTCGCGTGAGGTCGTCAATTACAATAAATTCAGTATTTCTTACGATACTGAGTATTAAAAAATCTTTCCACCTATATCATGACAGTACGAAAGAGGCAGAACTTGCAAAAAACACAAAAAGGATATTCATAAAATTATAACTCTGATGAAATTCATCAATAAAATAGGGCCGTGAAGAAAGGTCGATATCTAAGGCATTGTGCCCGTGATGCAGGTCGGTGGCACAAAACCGTTGTCCCGCATCACGGGAGCCGACGCGATATAACCATTTGTTACGCATTCAATGCTCGCCCTGCCTGGCTATTTATCTTGCAACCATTGACTGGGCGAGTCGTCGATCAATTCTAAGCGTTTCCATCGTCGATTAATCAAATGGTAAGTCGGTGTTTAATCTTAGTGTCAGGATGGTGTTGGAAATATTGTAATAACCATGAATAGGATATTTCAATGGTCATAATAATATATCATCAATGTTTTTCTATTTAAATTTCACATAAATCGGTTCTTAATATTTAAATAATAACATTTGATACGGGTTGTATTTACCTTACATGTCATCGTCAAAGTATGCGTGAAGATTGATTTCAATATGATTCTACAATGAGAATATATTTCAAAATATAATTGATACTTTGAAGCAAAATACTCTGAATTTGACATGTAAAGTCAAAAACTTCGCTCTTTTATAAAACAGTAGGCAACTAGTTTATCAGTATATCGAACGAATCACTTACATAGACATAAATGTCAGAAGGTTATTTAGACAAGACATAAATTCAATTTCAGTATTCAAATTCCAACATGCACGTAGACTGGCTACGTCTGTAGCAAAATTGCTACGCCGTAGTAAACTTGCTACGGCTCTCAATACGGTTATGTAAAGGTGAGACATGAAATCATTTTTGTAGGAAAGGTGAAATATTATTCACATTGAAAATTGGTTGCGATTGAAAATCCATAATTTATTTATTATACTATTTACATAAAAACTATATAATTATGACAAGCAACCATTATAAAAATTTGTTACGCACGTTACGTAATTAATCCAATACTAACACAAAGAATGCTATTAGACATAGTACAAAACATTATACTTAACATAAGATTTAAAAATGTTACAACATTTACAAGCATCTCTTTTCACAAAGAGATCATGTTTCACATAATTATGAAAACGCAAGCTAGGTATCTATTGATTTCCATATATTTTTTTTTATTTTTTTATATAATTCTATGTTTGTACATAATTCAATCCATACTACTGGTTCGGGTAATAAAATTATGTTTCGTATAATGGCAAAATAACTGTTGACAAGTTAGCGTACCACTTTTTTGTTCTATAGGAGTATTATATTTATGTCGCTTCGTGTGACAAAATATTCACCATGGCCTACTCCTTACATAAATAATTAAAAATGTATTTTAAGTAAATATTAAATATTTTAATTAAATGATTACATTTTTAAGAAACATGTAAAAATTTTTTTTCTTTTAATTGCTATGAAGGTCTAACTTCTAATACCTAAAACTGGTCATAATAGTGTGGTCCGCAATAAGCCGAGGCAAAGTTAGTTTCAGAATTACCCGTTACCCGTAGTACTTGGTATATTGCGAGTTAACAACTATCCCAACATCTGTTCGCTACATATTACTTCTGTAGATACAAATATTTATTCGCCAGCTTTGAATGGATGGGCCAGAGAAACAAACGGTCAAGTTATTCAGGGCTCTTATGATTTACGAAATTGTTCGGAAATTTGTAAGTACCTATATATTATTTTACGTGACAGTTAATAAAAGTTTTTAATCTACTGTTATATTCTTTGTTTTACTAGCACATTAAAAAAATATTATAAAAAATTACATAAAATATAAACTCTCTTGAATACTCGTACAATGTATGTATTGAAAAAAAAAACGCATCAAAATCTGTCACGTATGTGTATACGCTTTTGAATAGTGATCATATTTTTTTATTTTAAAAAAGGTTGTATCTTTAATGTAATTGAAATTAAATAAATCTAAATCTATCCTCTTCGTATTATGTTACTGTGCTTTGTTTTTTTTTTCATATTTAATAATGATAAAAACGAACGAAGATAAACTTTTTAATTATAGCAAGTACATATTTGTAAAAAAACTTTATATAATTAAATGAAAATAAATAAAAATACTTTTTAAAACCGCATGTTAACAACG